CCGCATATCTATTTCTAGGTGTTTCAAGTATTCTCGGGGCCATTTGTTTTACGGTATTTGTCGAATTTTGGAATCGAAAAAATTACACTGCTGAAAAATTGCAGTAGAGATTGGCCTGGAAACAAAAAAAAATAGAGCATTTATTTTCTTATTCTCAGTATATGTCGAAATCGGAGAGACATATTCAAATTTTTGTACCATCTTTTTTTTTTTTCACAGAGGTAAAACTTAATGCCAATTAATGCCTCATTTTTTGCTTTCTGTTTTATACTCACTTTCTGGTTAACCATTTCTGTGGGATGCACGTTATTATTACCTCTCAACACATTCTACAGGTATCCATTCGCTAGAGTCAGGGATATGAGTGAAGTGGACCAGGAAGAGAGGACAAAGAGGGAAAAAATAGCGTTGAAAAGTCCCTTGGTTTATAATAGACAGAGGGACGACGTTAGAAAATATAACGAGCCGAGGACAGTTTCTTCTTTCGTCCGTCCGAGGAAATGAAAGGGATACAGATGAATGTATAGAAGTTGCGAAAAGAAGAGCACCGAGAATTCATAACTCCGGTTATATAGGTTATTTAGGTTACTGTACGACCATATCTTCAACCCTCTTCCCCTTTATACCACTCCCTGCGCCCTGTTTCATCTGGCTTTTCACCTTCAAGTGAACTTCCATGTCCCCAAAGTTAGACGTGACATATTCGTGATGATTACATTCGCAGCGTCATCATTACTTGGCAACTCTACCTAAACTTCTCTTTCCGGGAAAATTGCAAAGTTGAAGATTGTTTCATCATTGAGATTATCTCTCGTGGCAATCGGCATCTGGAACAGTGGAATGTAAATTGAGTCTCTCGTGAAACCGTGAAGAAACAAACTCCAATGAATAGGACGGTTCAATCAATCGAGCCAACAGGTAAATGTTTCAATGAAGAGAAACTCATTGTCCCCTCACAATGGGAGGTTGTACTTGGGAACGGTCGAGTATTATTCAAAGGCAACGTTATACCGACATCCCAGTGGAAGAACCCATATGCAATTCTCCATTCGGTTACCAATGAAATGGGTCGACTATTCAGAAATTATGTGATTCACCAACATTCCAATCCAACATTCCACTTGAATCTCTTTCACTTCTCTTGCAATTTCTTTATTTTTTGCTATCAATGTTTCCGTTTTTCAGTGCTCTTTCCGGCGCAATTCCGATGCAATTTGGAATAACTTGGTTTTACTATGGTTGCATAAATTTTTTTTCTATAATTTTTTAATTAGCAATTAATTATCTTGATAGACTGGCAAGTGGAAAAATAAATGAACGACTCATCAACTCTGACGAGATAAAAATTTGGAAGGGCTGTGATTTTGTCTTTTAACATTTAAGATAGAAGGCGTAAGATGCCTTGGTGCATGGATGTACAATATACACCCAAAGTGGAGAACACAATCGATATTGTATACTCCAGTTGTCATCTGACAGGGGCGAGTGAACGTCCATGACCACACGTCCTGTGCACATTTTTTCTCTCTTCTTTATTTATTCTCTTATATGTATGTTTTCTTTCATCACACATAAACACAGATAAAGTTATTCGACTCTCTAATTCTCTAAGCGCTCACTGTAGCAGCCAATTATTAATTCGAGTACCATAATGGGTGTCCTCTCGCTGAATTCTCATTAATTCAATCTTATTATCTAATGAAAATCAGGCAAAGCGGTTTTATTGCGAAATTTTTTAATTTTACCAGAGGGTAAATATTTGATGAATTAATATTCCCGGTAAAAACGGCTCCGGCATTAAAAGCTGAATAATAAATAATTCACAGTGGTAACAGGAGCTTCTGGGGGGTGTTGGTCTTCGTAACCCCTGTCAATATATTAGAATTTCTTGGGGATATCTTCGTGAACTGCAGCTGCAGCAATACTCCGGTGTATATAGATCAATTTTTATTCTGTCCAAAGCGAATCGTGCTAAGTGCATGTAATGTACGAATGGGGTTGTAAATATGTACAAATATATAACTATATAGGTGGAGGGTGCACTTGGCAAGATGGAGAATTGGCTGGTGTAAGCCTCTGCGATATTCTCCCCCGTCTTGAGAGCTTTGTTAAGCTACTTACAAAGACAGATGTCGTTGGGAGGAGCCTCAATCCTCGGGCGATTCCTATTTTTTTTTTTTTTTTATGATTTTCAATTTCATTAGCTAGTCGATCTTTTTTGTTCAGCCCTAACCACATCCCATTGAGATTCCCAAAAAAATTATCCAAATTCATGTGAAAACTTGATATAAACGGAATAAAAGTTCCCACAACTCTCAACACGTCAACAACACCAACAAAATAACCAAGAAAACTCGAGACAAGCTACAGATTGGAAGTGTGTAAAGTTGATTTCAGAATTTTCCTCGAGAGCTAACACAATTTCTGGTACGTCGGTAAAAAGCCGGCTCGCCTGAGAAAATGGGAGAGAAAAAGGAAAGGGAAAGTGACAGGTGAAAACTCGACTCACCGATCTTACTTTTTTTTTCGGGGAAACAGTGGAAGAATGAATTCTCCTAATGGATTCGTTCGAGTCTCTATTCCATAAAATCTATCAGAACAAATCATTGGAAATTCTTCGAATGTCATGACCTTAGTCATTTAACAAAATAGAAACTTTTTAAAATGTTTTTCATCTTCCGCCAATTTCGGTGGGGCAGAGCGAAACTTTTATTTCTAATATGCAGAAATTTTCCAAATTTTCCAAGTTGGAAAACTTAGGAATATTCAGTATTTTTCAGGAGAAAGTTTGGCTGAAAATTTCCAACACTTTAGGAATATTGGAGGGAATAAAAGCCCGTCACAATTAACGACACAATCCCCCCTAATTCCAATTAAGTAGAAACTCTGGGTAAGACTCGGCGTTATTTGCCATAATCTTGTACTTTGTCCCTTCGCTATCTCAGTTAATGCAGCCCAGAATGTAGAGAAAATTCAGACGTATGGGTATGAGTATGAAGGCACATGTAATTCGTTTACGTGTGAGAATTCATTGAGAGAAATTGAAAAGCGGTAGTGTTGAAGGATATCTGGAAGAGGGCCGGTATTTTGAGATATGGCAGTAGTTGAACCGTTTATTGCGCATTACTACGCACTTGACTCACTATCAACCGGGGGTAATTACAAGTCGGTGGGAATAACTTTCACATGATGACCCGGTTTTTCGGCATTGTAATGACATGGTTAAGTACACTTTGAATTTCATGAAAAAATTCTACCAAATTAAATGAATTTACCACTGAGAGAGATCTCCACCTCTGAGTTTTTCCACCTCTTCCACTCGTCCAACGCACAAAATTCCACGCATGAGAAAAACTTTTACTTCCACATTCATGTTATTCTCTATTTAATATGCAGAGTACGAAAATTCAATGAGCAAAAAGTGCAGAATATTGCTCTGTAGCGTTGAACGACCAAACGACCAAATATAAAATTTCAAACGAACAACTGACGTTACATGCCGCAATGGGAATTTTCCATAGAGACATAAATTTCATCTGAACTAACGAGACATTCAGTGTGGAGCACAGTGGGCAACGAGGCGTGATGGTAATTACTCGGGTGCAGAGTTGGGTGGAAATGTGCGCTCACGGCGTCAATCCAAAACGTACGGCAAGGCAGATAGTGATTGCGTCACACCCCCCAATGATTCGACACGTTTGCAGAGAGATTCATTCCTTTGACAGCATCCGCATGATTTCCCGCGTTTGTTTGGCTGATCCATCAGTCTGCTTGCAAAGTCATCCTTACAGATTTTTCAAACAGACTTATCAAACTTTTTTACCACACTATTGTATATCAATTCATTGAAATTCATTGACAATTAAAATGTTTGAGGAGATCTGCCATCCAGAAAAATTTATCATTTAGATTAATTCCAGAGATTAAAAAAGAGGTAATTAAAGTTCGAGGAAAGAGCAGTGAAATTCCGACGGAGTGACTTTGAAAAACGCTTGAAGAAATGGAAGCTGCTCCTTTAAAAAAACCTTTGGCCCAATGATTCCCTCGGAATATACCCAATAAAAGTAACATCATCATAAAAATTTCCAGGATTACGTCCTTCATTCTGGGGATCGAGTTTGGAATGCAATTACTCCCCAGAGTTGCTTCCATTACAGCAGTTGCAATTGAACCCCCCTAGAATTTTCCATTATTTTTATCATGATTATCATGCTCGACGTCAAGAATATTTAAAAAGAAAATTATCTTGTTGCAATTCCAAAGATAATCGGCTGAGAATGAACTTTTCCGGCGAAATATATATGACTGAAGAAAAAAAAAAAAATACTTCTCCTGACATTTCGAGAGAAATATATATTTTTTTCAGTGCGTAAAGGAAGAGTAAAGGGCTGCAGCGGTTATGGCCGGCAGATATACAATGGAAAATAGCAAGGACTTGGAATACACTACATGTTCGTGCATCGATGCATTATGCATTTGACACATGTGGCCTGCACATGGCATTCGTCGGGTGTGGAATAGTGTTAGAGAGGCGGGTGAATATATGCACTTTTGTACGCCCTGACGATTCGCCATGTTCGAATGATACGTGAGGCGCATGGAGAGCTGAATCGGAAATCGGTCACTATTATACCGTGCTTTCGAGAGGAATGCCACTACAAGGTGCAATATTTATGGGGAAGGAAGCCATTTTTAGAATCAACAATTTTTCGGGGGATTGATTTTTTATTATATTATATAATTTTAAAAATTCCGTGTAATAAAAAAAGCATGGAGTAGGAAGTGTGATGGGTAGTGAGCGGAGAGATGTCTTCTCAAGTGAACGTTCCCATAACGTCGAAGCATGGCTTAGGTATGCGCTGAAAAAAAGTTGACAAAAAATGTTACACGTTTTATTTTTGAAGGGAATTGGCCATTGTGAGATATGAGATAAATATAACCCTGTAGCCCTGCTAACCTCACTCCCCATAAAATTGAAACAATAATTAATGTAATTACAGAGTAAACCGAGGTAAAGCTAGCGTTACGATGTGAAATCATTATACCTGGCTGGTGGAAACCTCAGGCACGGAAGCGCTAGAAGACTCGGCGAAATCACGAACACGTGGCGAGACGTGAAGCGGGGTAAGTGCACCCTTCCCTAACACAATATATATTTTCCATTACCCAATGCTCACTGACATGTATATTTCCAACCTGTGCACGTCGGTTAGCATCACGCTATTTTAACTTTTAAAGATAAGACAAACTATCCCCCCTTTGATAGAAAAATCCGATTATTTTTCTAGGGGGTTTGAAAAATTTCCATGACAACTTTAAATATTCCGTGCGGAGGAGAAGAAGGAGCATTTGTTTCCACCTCAGGCCATACAAACTTTTATATTGATTTTGTCTATTTCTCGAGAAAGGGAAGAACTCGGCGGAAGGGTTTGCGTGGGAAAACCCTTGGCATCGGGTGGATGCAATGCTTCCTTTTTTATCGAAAATGGCAAGCGAGGGATAAATGGAATTCAATAGAGAGTTTTTGTTTGATTTCACAGAAAAGACGTACATGAGGGTTTCACATTTCTCATGATTTCCTCGTTGTAAAATTATGCTGTGAAAAATGTCGAAAAGATAAATTTCCCACTAAAGTCGAAATTTCAGTAAAATTACAAGGGTTTTTTTGTTGTTCCGGGAATGTGGAGTCTGTGAATAAATAAATAGGATTAGCCATATTCTATAATAAACTTTAAAATCGAAATACCCAATTGAAAATTGTTCATATATTGTGCCACTTTGAAAATGAATGCTGCATACATTTGCGCTCACGCACTCCTATCCAATTTATGCCCTTCCGACCTCCCTCCCTTCATTTTCATTATTTCCGTCGAGCATGGCATTTCCTGAAAGCGTTCATAATCGTGAAAATTTAATTAAAGCCGTGACATAACTTTGAACTGAAATTCCCGTATTTTTAATTCCCCCTGTTGCGAGGGTTTCCCTATTTTCCCTATTTTTCCCGTGTTTCTATTGTGAACCGGAAAAGGCTGGGAATTACAGTTCAAGTGAAAATAAATAGAGGAGTCCAGCTCTCCCTCGGATTACGGTTGTATTTTTGTGCTATCCCTCGGGGCCATTCAATAGGTTGTGTAACGCCCTTTGAATGCAAAGAGATAAATTACGCATATTCCATAAATATTTATGCCCAGTCATCGAGCATTTTCCGACTACAGAACATTTGGGGGTTACTTTCTTTACTTATCCCTCACCCCTATGGGATTGACTGGATCGACTTATTTTAGTGTGGAATAAGTCACATCTACCTTGGACGGAAAATCTATATAGGTGGTAAACAACGTGTGCATGAAAGACGGAAATTTTCCCTCCTCAATTTTACAATTCAATGTTGCGTCGATAAATGAAGGGAGAATACTGTATCATACGTACAATTCGATGCTCTTTCTTGTCTCTCTCGTGATTCATGATGTATTGAGGTAGTGAATAATGCATTTATATAGTTACAATCAGAGATATGGTATTCAATTTGGGGAAATTTACTTTTTAAGGGATATTGTGGAGATGTGACTTTATTGTGTGTTGTGCTACTTATTTGAGATAAAAACCAAATGCGTGTCACTCAGGTGAGGAGAATAATAAAAGGGAATATTTTTATTGAATGCACCGGAACTCTTTACGATGCCCTCAGACGCCTATATTTTTTTCCATCTCCCCGTCTTTCATCACTCCCTCTTCTGAGATGAAAAACTAGGTCGTGAAAATGCAGGCGGTAACTTTGGAACTCTCATATCTGTTATCCCCTGGGCGAACAACGCGTGTACGTACTCCATATACGTTATCCCCCCGCGGCCTTCACCTATTGCCAAATGGACTTTGCTACGGGATATAATTTTTCTCTTATATGATATACCTTGAAAATTGTCTTGTCGTTTAAACCTCCACGAAATTGGGAGCATCTCATATACATTCATATAGTGGTATCATAGCCGCAGTGACATCGCTCGCAATTTTTTCAGCTGCATATTTTCCTTTCAATATTTTTTTTTAGACATTTTCATTTATTTATTTTGTTCATTTAAATTATTAAAATATTAATTTTCCGATGGAAATCAGCTTTTAGCCTGCTGTGCGTGAAGACATTCTCCGACGGCAGTACAATGCTGGAGGCGCCACCGGGTAGTCGAGAGGATCTCGTCGAGGCCGCGCGAACTCCCTGCTCACCCTCAGGTACGTAATTTTGTGAAAATACAAATTCTACAAATTCCACTATTTTTTTTCTTAAAAGTCCTTATCATTTCAACAAAAAATCTCCACCAATGCAGCGAGCACATCCGCGTGCACTGACTGCCGCTGATAAATTCCCAATTCCCACTGACTCGCTGACATTCAATTCTTCTCTGCAATAAGAAGGACTACCCCTACCAGACTCTCCCCCATTTTCAATTTCCATTAACCCCAGCCGCTCGTACTTTGTGACTCATAACCTCTCGCCCTTTGTCGAAATTACCTCCGAAAATTCGTCGAACCCAGCTCTCATGTCGAGAAAGATAAAAAAAAAAAAAAAACTCGAGCTGAAAGCCTCAATTTTCCCACTTCACCCTCGCCACTTGTTGTATTTCCCTCTTTATTTTTATCCTTTTTTTTTTTTTTGTTGAGCACTGTTATCCTGGCCGCTGACGAATATCTCGCAGAGTGGCCCTTCTGCCGAGCGAATGGAATAGAGTAGGAGAGGAGGGAGGAGAATCATTTATCGGGCGGTTCCGTACATATCGATCGATCGCAATTTTGCAAATGTCACTCCGGGATCAACTCCCCCTTTTCCCTTGGAGCTCTCATCCGGCACTCAGGCCATTTTTCATGCAGAGAGGAATCGTTCACCACCCGACCTCGAATTACTTTGATCCCAGTTGTGTTTTGACAAGCCACGATGGTGTTAAACGCTCGCTTCGGCTTGACTCACTCCTCATCATGACATGAACTTGAAATTGATATATCGACTATTACGACTTGTATCAGATTGAAAAACAGTGTTGACATCGGCTTTATTTTAATTACCACGCCATCATCACTCACCCTCCCACATTTTGCAAACTGAACTTAGTTACCTCGATCCACTCTGCGCGAAAAAATAAGAAGAAATAAATGGGCCCCTGAAAAGCCACTGAAACCGAAAAAAAAAACGCGGAAAATTGATGGAAGTAATTGACATGGTTTAGCGGGCGACCTATGCAAGCGCCGTTTAATTTTGCCGCTGGTATATCCGAGATGGTCGGAGAATGGGGGAGCGACGGAATATTGCGGGTAAATGTGAAATCGAGTACTACCTATACACGGAGAAAAAAGGTGTGATATAACCGTGAGACTAAATTCTTATTCCTTCTAATTTTATCAATTAGACTGGTCATCTTCATGGAAATATTGATATCCATGAATTTATTATGTATGTCTGTGGATTAAATAAATAAATGAGCAAATATGTCCCGTGATATTTATTTGGTTTTGCGGTGTGCGGAGGCGAATCGCTCCTCTCGATTGATGTCGATTAACATGGTTAATGCAATCCTTACGGAATCGTGTTAAGCCTTTCAATTTGGTGACATCACCGATCATCATCCAGGGCTGGGGTCTGGCAGGACAAGAAGAATTTGGCTGGGGACGCATTATCCACCTCTAGGACTTCGATACACCACCAAATGGCTGGGATTATCGATTCTCGGCGTTAACGATGATTGATGTCACTCTCATCGTGACTTCCACTTCTCTCACATTTTTTTAAATGCTTTACATTCCTGAGAGGATAAGGTGGATCAGGAGGAAGCATTTGTTTAATGGGTTTTTTCAATTTATCAAGAATTTTCTCGCAATTTTGGGCACTTACAGCAATGAGAATATACATGGTAACGTTATTTTTTTATTATTACATACAATATAATGAAATAATATTTAGGCCATTAATTTCTCCACTGAAAAATATTTTGATATTGTAGTTGTCGAAATAATTACAGTGAAATCTTGTCAAATTTGTCTTTATGCTCCGTGTATTGTTCGCGACTTCATTACGATGTTTCCACAGGTACAGTGGAATGACAATTCCTCCAATTTTCCTTTTTCCACCACTAATTATGTCGTCTAGTCATACGAATGTGTATAGCCATTCGTGCCATCCTGAGCATAATGATATTCACAGCATCGAATTACCGTATGCCCAACCTGTGGTGAATTCTCCGGGTTCTCGTCACCCTCAGGCTATTTTCTGGTACAGCCAAGAGCCAGCTCACGTCCTAAAACCCTACCCCAAGTTCAACAGTATTAAAATAATTGACGGGCTTGATAATGACAATATTTAATTCTGAGAAACAGCCACTATCGCTAATTATCTATCGGAAAACCGAGGGAGATGAGGATTGTGTATTTTTCTCCTTTCTCTTACTCCTTCGCTTTTATCTTCTCGGTATTCCTTTATGTTGCTCTGGTGGCAGTCTTTTAATGATTTCGCGTTGTACAACTCCTTTATAGAATTGAGAAAATGAATGGAGTAATCCGTGAAAAAAGGAGCTACTCTTTTTTCTTTGCTTTGTGCTTGTTAGCGGAGAATGGAAGTGCGGAAGAACAATGAGTTATATTTTCATGCATTTCATCTCCCCCAGACACAATAGGATTTTTATCTGATATTCTTTTTGAATAACGCTGCTATTAGGCAGAGAGGCAATTTAATTGAAGGGAGAATATGGCGAATGAAATATAAATTAAATAATTTAGAGGCCATCACCAGTTTGATTAATTCACGTGATTGTGTTATGTGAGAATATGATAAAGGTGGATTGAATTTTCCGATATAAAAATGGCAATTTTGGGAATTCGGAGATAATTATATAAATTCTCTGACCAGGACCTGGACATTAACGCCAGTCATCAAATCTCTCGGTAATAAAAATCATCGAGATTCCGTCGGAAATGGCAGAATGGCCCGCAGCCCCCAATGATTGTACGGAATTATGAATTATTAGTTTGACGGGGTGACGGGGGCTGCCGTCTGACCAATCGTAGAGCATTATCCTATAATTTCCATATTTATCCAATGTACAGGCAGTATTGCATGTGCATTGTGCAGATTGTGGGCGACGAACAGGTGTAATTTATACGTGATACCGATCGCTCCGATATATTGATCTGGTGATCTGAACGGTTTATCCCTTGTGACCTCCCCTTCAGCTCTTCGAATCCAAACAAAAAGCAACCCCAATGTACACACGTGTTTGCGGCCTCTGTATATTGCAGCAATTACAATTTATGAGTATTTGTTTTACGAGTGCCATGCCTCCGGCTGATTAACCCAAACTATCCCATTCAATGTTTAATTGATTAATTATTTTATTAGTCGGTTTATTATTCTCGGGTTGAGAGTTCTTCTCGGTTTTGAAAATTTCGACAGTAGAAAATGGCAATTTTTCAAGGAGAAAAGAAGATAAATATGAAGAAGATGGCCAAGTTTGATTTCCTTCGGTTTTTCTGGATGGAATAGTCAATATGAAGCCAGTCGCTTTCCTTTTCATCGATATGTAGGTTCCATTGGCCGTTGGCACAGGGAGTTTACAGACCATTCCCACCGTCCGATGAATTATTTAGCTCCGACCGACCAAGTGGCCCTCGGTGTATTTGCACGGTTGAGGTGCCCTGGCGAATGCCTCTGACCTATACAGTTATTCATTCCACCATCCTGTCGGACGAATGAGTTCTGGGGTAAATGTCTTTCTTCACTATTCAAATTATCGACTGAAAAAAAAGTCTTATTTGACTAATTTTTTTTTTCAATATAACTTTAGAAAAAAATAATGTGACTGATGGAGGAAGCGGAACGAATCGACGGAGAAACCGTTTTACTCTAATATCTAAGTGGTTATTTGAATAATTCAATGAAGTGTGGTTAACGATAATATTGAACTTCATACGCAACTCGAAGGACCAACATTATCCTCCAATATCAATGCAAATTATCGAGCTTCAACCCTCGTCACCGGAGGATGGGGTTTATGATTAGAGGTTATCAGCACTGGAATTACAGTTTCAGATTAGTTGGGGAAATGGCTAGCGCCAAAGTACAAATAATCCGCCTGAATAATCGGACCGCAATTGAGATAAAATTTCCCTTCAATTGAACTCCGACGAAAGCGAAAGGGCTTAATTCACTCAGATATAATAAAATTAATAACATCGGTGGAACATTGGAGCTGAAATTGGGCCCGGGAGACTCTTTGTCCTTCCCGCAGCCTCCTTCAATAAATTTTCAATATCCAATATGTCCAACAATCAAATTTTTTCTGATAAAAATACTCCTTCCAAATTCTGGGTATAGGAATTATTAGTCCGGTATTCTGGAACAATAGTAACGAGGATACCGCTTAATTTTTGATACAGCACAAACTCGCGAATTTCACAGGAAACAATTCGGCGCGCAGTGACTATATAGTCATGCGATATGAAGTTTCCAATTGAATTAATAAAGAATGTTCAGGGATTGTGAGATAGTTTCTCGGTGGATTCGTTATGTATATTTCCAATGGGGAAAAGGGGTTGTTCCATTCGCTGGTATCGGAACCCCACTGGGAGATATGCCGACGAAATGGAGAACTCTCAGTATGGCGAGTGTCAAAATTATTCAATTCACTCGCTCTTTTTATGAATTTTTCGAGGGAATCGTTCTGAATAATTGAAACATAAAATACTGAGTCTTACGGCATTTCCGGCCATCTATAGGTGGGCGCAAATGCATTTGATATAAATGAAAATCGAATTAAAATAATTTATTTTTATTAAAAATGGAATACCGAATATACTCGATTCGAGTATTTTTTTTTTTTTCAGTGAATGCATAAATTTTTTATATCCACTGGAAAAGTTCAATCTATTTAAAGTTGGTTGAAGGTATATTAAGCTCTGAATAATAAATAAACGAACGATGAAAGCCGGAAACGGTAGAATTTCTGGCGGCGATAAGTAGAAACGTCAGCGAGGGGAATTGGCTCTTGGATGAAAAATGTATATCCGTCTTCTCACCACACGGAAGATCGGATAATGCAGGTAAATTTATGAGTTACCCCATCCTCCTAAAATTATAGCCCTCTTCAACGATGTTGTGATTCACACATGGAAACAGCGCGACGCGTCCGAAAATCACCAACGCACTTGTGTATTTCCCCCCCCCCCCATCATGGCCATTGAAATTTCGCTTAAGGAGGCATTCCAACCTGGCGATGATTATTCCAGAGTTGCTCTCCGTTTCCACCCCTGTCGCTCGACGATGCGAAATGGATTCGATTATCCCCGGTGGAACGGCAAGTAGTTACCCGAGTTGTAGATGTTCGTTATGAATCGCGAGTGAGTTGAATTGAATTTATTATTCTGCACTGCACATAGCTCTACAGTTTCTCTCAATTTATTCTATCCCCAAATGATGTCACTACTCCTCCACCTCTCTCTGTACTTGCCTTTATTTTCCCCAGTGCCTTTCCGGGTAATGTTAATTTGAACCAATTAAAGATGATGAAAATAATTTGAGGATCGACTGAAGCGAGTAATGCTAGTCTGTTGCGGCTGGTTTTTGAGAAACATTCTATCTGTCATAGTTTGCCGTCATTGAAAAATTTTCAGATACTATTATTCATTTTTATATAGGTATGATAGTATAGTATTATATTATGACGAGCGAGATAGGCTGAAGCGAGTGTACGAGTCAAGTGGGTGAAGAGGATATGATAATTTCATTCTCGCCATTTCTTCCCGAGTGGAAAAAGCAGAAAAAGCAGAAAAAGCTTGAATCAGTCTCTAACCCTCCATTTGGTGTACACCCGTGAGGCGAATATACAGGTATAGATGGAAAACTAAATGGGCAAGGCCGTCCGGCTGAAAAGTTATCTCGCTTAATGAGATTCAAAGTAGATGGGCCGCGACCGAGTGAAAAGAAAAAACGGTTCAAGGATAAAAAATAGAAGGAAATACAACTGAGAGTTTAAAACGGGGGCGAGTCCGGTTTATCGCTTGAGCAATTTACTGGTATAGAATGAGGAGACTACTCATTCCACACATGCACCACTAGGTGTAAACATTGTTGATCTAAATTTTATCTTGAGGTTATCATTCCTCTTTCATTTATTCCACCATTTTATCGCTGCTATCACGAGCTTTTTTTTTATTTTCAGTAAAAAAAAAATGAATGTTTTCCAACAGTCAACTCGATGTGAACAAATATTAGCATTTGAAAAATGTGGATTTTGTAGTTAATTAATTTGCTTGGTAAAAGTACTTGAACAATGAGTTTCAAAAAATCTCCAACGGCTTCGCTTTTCATTGACGTAACAAGCTCCAAATGAAAATGTATCGGTACAAACGACTGGGCAAAACATTGCTACATTGAATTTCGCCGTAACTTTATACTCCATCATTGACTTCTATCAGTTTTCACAGGATTTATATTTCAATGGAAATGGAGAAGGCAGTGCTGGCTCGGTGCAATGAAACGCTGAGAGAAACGAGGGAATTTCCATAGAGATAACCATCGGAAAGCAGAAGAGTACTTCGTTTTTTTTCACGTGTTGCTATGAAAAACAGCAATTTCCGCGGGTTTAATATCAATTTGAACTCGTCAAGAGAGTACTCCAAAATATTATAATTGAAATGCCCTTTTTCCGTAGTTTTACGAGTTTTGCATTAGCGGATATTTTTTTTTTTTCGAGCACATATTGTGAGAAATAATTATATGAAGCGGTGTAATTGATAAGTTGCTGATGGTTCAATTTTTGTTGAGCCCCAATTGTCGAGATAAAGGAAAAATGTCTTGATTTGCCAACGATGCAATTGAAGTTGATTCCGAGAAAATGCAAGTAATGAAAAGACAAGAAACTTTATTCCCAAGTATTTTTCAGTGTTTGCAGATTGAAGTGTTGGGAAATGGAACATCATTCGGAATCCTCGAGAGTGTTTCCGCTGATGCAGTGCACTCGTAGCTTCATCTAACCACAACTACACGTCGTACATTCACTCGAGGCGTGTTATATTTATCAAACAATCTGCAACAATTCCAGTTACCTCTCTCCCCCTGCACTCAAGTACCGGAGGGCCTCTCGTCCGCTACTCCAGTCAAACTAATTTAACTTTTCTCCACTGTCTTCGTGTGTTTCAGATCTGGACAGTATGCTCTACAGCTACACCAATGGAATATATGTGCTGGATCATACGCCCGAATCCATGCCGGTGAGCAGTTGATCAAATTTTCACAACTTTTATTTTCGCCGAGACAGTTGAAGAGTAGTTTTTCCAAAATTGTCTACAAACTTCAGATCGTTAACTCTGAGCGCTTTTAAGAGGATTACAATCCATGGGGACTTGGCGATAATTGGAATTATCGGCGCAGGGGGAGTTTATTTTCCCTTTGTTTAATCCTTTCGTTTTTAACTCGATTTTTTACCAATAATTAGTATTTTTAGGTAGATAAAAATTCAGTTGCTGAATACAATTTGGATGTCCTTGTCGATTGCAATAAGTCCGAGTGATGAAAGTATTTCAGGTACGAGATATTCTCTTGAGTTTAAAAGAGAATAAAGAGCCATCGACTCGGGAATGTCGTGCTCCTTCCATTCAGAGCTCTCCGATGATAAATAAAATGAACAAAATCCACGGTACAGGGTTAAAAATTGGGGTAATTGAAGAGTGGAGCAACTGGGAGCAGCTTTTATCCCCGTGTGCAATTAGTGATGGAGTCTGGTTTGGATTGTAGGAAATTCCCCAGGCGTGCAATGTCCATATGCTCACGTGGTACTGGTTCACCAACAAATGGTATTGGTTGGACTGATGAATGAGTTCAATGCACTTTATATATTTTCCCCTGCACTCAGATAATCAATAAAATGCCGAGTTTGGAAAATAGTCCCTGATTATATAAGTCACTCCGAATATTTAAAATTTTGCATTGTTTTCCAAAATATTCCATGTGAAAAATGATAGAGTCAACGATGTAGAGTTTTCAGTGAATACCTCTTCGAGTTTCATATTCCCCTGATAGCTTTTTGAAAATTTTGAATTTTTCAATTTCAGTGAATACCTGCTGGAATCTCATGCTCCCCTGATACTTTTTCAAAAAATTTCGAATTTTCGAATTTCTGTGAATACCTATTTCTGAGATGGCCATTTTGAGGTGTACAGCTGTGACAGGAGAGGCCAAAAGCTCGAGAAAAAGCGGAAACTGGAGCCATCGTGGTTATCGTTCGACTTTCCGCTTCACTTGCTCGACACGATCCGACCATATAGCCCTTGTACCTTCGCAACCATAGCTATACCACGGGTTTTCACTTGTCTCACCGTTGCTTCCTAACAACCAAACTCATCCAAGTTTAACGTATCAGGCAAAATTAATCTATAGGGGATACCGATGCTTTTTCAACCTTCCAACCGGCGCACGATCCATTTTTCAACAAACTGCTGCACTAAATTTCAATTCTAACGGCTTTATCGAGAAAAAAATTTGAAATATCACCAGGATAGATTATCGAGCATCTCCTGTTATATTTTTAAGAGAGAATTTATTGGGCCGTGGAAGTTATCATTAATTTCATTTAAGTGGTTATTGAATGATTAGAGGAATTAGCATATATCAAGCCTGTATTGAATATATTGTTATATACTTTAAAGTACCCTTCAAGGCTATCCAATTGAGCGAAATTATTTTGGTTTGAAGGACATGGATATGCTACAACTATTCGCATCACCAGCTGGTCGTGCCCTGGTAACAGCCGATAACCACAGACGGCGTAGAGGTCCAACCTCGACGTCCTCATTGTCGAGGGAGCCGACATCGCGATCGAAAAATTCCAGGAGAAATACAGCGACGAGTAGGTCCATTGGTACACCGAGCCCACCCGCTAGACAGAGAAAATCCAGTACCGAGCTTTACAAGGAGGCTGTCGAGATACTCGGGCTCACATGTTCCCTCACCGACAGCTGCCGATGCATCGAGTGCCAAGTGATTTATCTCTTTATTACGCCTTCCCAATTCGATCGACACTTTTTTCATTTTTTTTTCCCCTTTCATTTTCTCCCTTCATATTGCCAATCGATTTATTCCCTTTATTGAACTCTCTTGTCTCACCCACTATCATTTATCATTTTTTAATTTACAAAATCAAATGTATTCTCCGGAACATGAAATTTCAAATGATTTGTGTTTTTTTTAATTTAGTAAATTCGCTTTCAATGTGCTTAATTGAATTGCCACGAAAATCGAATGGGCCATTTATTGTCAAGCACCTCGTGGCTTGAAGTTTCTGGACAAGTGTTGGTCCAACTGGCCTGCCTTTATCCAATTCATGCCCAACCAACTCGCACGTACCCTGTGCCCACTTACCCTCGAGTGTACATTAGTGCACACAGGATGGATCGACATCCATGACTCGATGGCAATCGAATTAACTGTTCGAGTAACCGTTTTCCGAGCTTCTACAAGTGCTCAGAGCCACAGTTACGCTCCAACTGAGATCCTTCCTCCATCTTCGGGATATAGTCGCCCATTCGCTTCCTCCATTTCGTACTGCAAAGTCCTTCGTATATTCACTGCACCCTCGTAATCATTATCTTGGGAATTTTCACTTCAATTGCTTCATCAATGGTCTTTTTTCAAATTAAGTTCATCTAGGACGAGAAAAATTTATAGCGCTACTTAATGTATGTATGTATTTATGTTTTAGCACCATTTGTCTAGTACACTGTGGTGAATTTATTATTCAGCATGAGCATAAAAATTCAGATGACTTTATAATTGAAATTTCATGGAATTAGCTATTTCCATCAATTACACAATAAATTTTTGTATCCTCAATTAATGCTGATAATGACCGATATATTCTCAATTCCCCCTGACAATAAATATAAACAAATCTTTTCAGAGCAATTACTTCGACTTCGACGACGACTGCGGGGAATCGAGATCAGAGCTAGCGGCAGGAACACCAATACTTCTAGATCACGCTTTGTCCCATCCGTTGGCTTGCTCTATACAGTAGTCGGAGGCTAGCGTCCCATTGGAGAGAGATCCGTAGCCCCTAGGAGTCTCGATCGATCTGTCAGTGGTTTCTCCGCGGGTGTGGACGAGCCATTTCTCTGCCTCGAGGACTTTACCCGACTTCTTCATCCTCTCATCGGCCTCTCACCCCGTCTCCACCAGTAAGAAGTGCGTCTCGAGTGGAGGAAACTTGTCAAAATAAAAATAAATAAATAAATAAAAATAAGTCGTCGTCGCAGAGGGTGGTACCACGGTGTCCGCGAGGTGCATTGTCACGCTCGTTTTTTCTTATCAATTTGGGAATGTATCGACGCGTTGGTTGCCTCAATAAATGTCAAAGTTGAAGGGACCGAGAGAATGAGGAGTGAATTTCCAGAGGTGGCGATGACGGAGATGAAAATTTCATTAATATCGTGAGAAGTGGCGACTCCAAGAGAAAAAGTCAATAGATTTTTTTTTTGTAGGGGCTCAGCTTCTTTACAAAGAATGCTTATTGATATTTCATCATAAAACCACTGGTTGTTGACATATTCAAAGAAATCATTCATCTCCGTCTGGTCTTTGCTGAATAAAACGAGAAGAAATTTAAGAGAATAAATTTCATGGCCTATCCCCTCATGGAACTATGAAAAATTCTAAATATCTCTAACGCCCATAAATCCTAGATCAATTAGCCAATACTCCCTCTCTTCACCTTCCCCTCTCCCCGTTTTTATACGATATGAAGCTTCCCATTCTCTCTTATTTTCCACTCCATTAAAATTCCCAACAGCTGCAGTACGTGCCAAAAATAAACGCAAAAAGCCGAAGGAAATTGAAAGAGAGCTAAATAAAATCAATTCCTCCAAAAAAAGCAAATGTACATTATTAATTAAATAAACGAGTGCCAAATGAACAGGAATTTCAGACCCCCCCCCCCCCCCCCCCCTAATGGGGAAAAACCACACAGAGAGAAATATTCCGTGAAAAGTATGGAATAATTCCCGTAATTCTCAAATTTTACAGGAATAGAGTACAAGAAATGGTAATTTTTGCCAGTGAAGTAAAATAGTGGAGGAACTTGTCCGCTGAAGTAGAGCTCATTGGAATTACAAGCCCCTTTGACAAATTTTACTGAATTTTTCTCTGGATGCAGCAGAAATTCGCTAAATTAACCAGTTAACACATCTGACATATACGATCGGTTCCAACACACGTTAATAATACGTATAGACAATGTGTGAATAATGCCGAGTCATCAGAGCGTTCATGCCCCTCCTCTCCACCCCATTAAATCCACCCCCAACCCCTTTCCAGCCAATGCAAGCATGAACGAGCACTGTGCAGTCGTAATTAACGGACACTTGACCGATAAGTACTCACGCACTGGAGCGTCAATCTCAATTGCATTCAGATGCGATTCATCCAGGAATGAATTCATTTTTAATGATGAAAAATGAAAAAAAAAAAAAAACAAGTGAATTAAACTATGAAAGCTCATTTGTATTATTCCCGAGGGATGAAGCGAGATGCTAATCAAGCCATCCGAGGAACACCTGGGTTTGTTATTACGTGAGAATCTTTTCTAAAGGCTCTGGCTCAGTGCCAATTTATTAATAAGATACGTATACTCATGGATTATTAGGTGTAATGGATACTTTAGTTAATGTGAAATAACATTGATGAATTAATTGGAGATTACTATGAAAGAGTAGTAGAGGAAGGCAATGAGTTCAGACAGGTGCTTTAGTTGTGATGGAGGATGTAAAATTCGTGCCTATTATTGCCCACAAATTGCGGAGATTAATTAATGAGTTTAGTTTATAAATGGTTCATTATGGAGTATCGGTTCAGATTGTCTCAACGGCTTAATAACATTAATCACGAGTGACACTAGAGATGATGTATTACTAATGATGAGATTAGGGAAATCAAGCTTACAATTAGGATTAGACTTCTAATCTGGATTGCATATGATTGATATGTGGTTGATACACAGAGAAAAATATTTCTTACTCACAAGAAAAATCTGTTAATTATTCCCTTGAAGTACGAAATTATCAATTGAAGGAAATATTCATTCATTTGAGGGAATAGATGGGAATAGGTCAGGATTCAGATTTTCTCGAAGTAGAGATTTTTCATGGGAGTAAACGTTTTTTTTTTCCTCTGTGCATTATTCTAAAAGTTCCAGTTTTTTTATTCGACGTCAATGAAATCCCAATATTTCCAAATTTTGTTCTTACCTACTGTTCTAATATGGAATATTCTCTTGTTGAATAGAGTATTGTGATTTGTCAGTGAAAACATTGCATCCTAATCTTTTTCACATAATATAAAGCGTTCATCTGAGATTTTTATAATAAACATTGGAGCCTCGGTCATTCACATCGATCGACACCACTCATCCAAGAAAGTAAATTTACGAAAATAATTAAAAATATTTAATAAGTGGATAAAGAAGTTATTAAACGCATTCAACTAAGAATTAAATATATTTTGCATCGCGTACTATCTCAATGCGAAGTGAGAAACCCTGCCTTTCCGTCATTCGATTATAAGTATTGTAATAATGATGAATGACAATTTCCAAGTACGAGGAAGAGTTGTCACTGTCACTGACTGTACTCAGCTCATACTATTGAATATAACATATAATGAGATTAAATAAACTTCATTTGTCGTTTTAAGAGGATCACATTCATTTATCCCTCATTTTCTAATTTAACAATGGCTCGTGGTATTTTCGAAGAGAAAAGTTGGATATCATTCTTCTGAGTAAAGTAATAAATATATCTTTCCCGCTATCTTTCCCGCTTATGCATTCTCGGCACGTATGGATCAGCGTTTAGTACTGTGTTAGGGGTGATAGGTCAAGGGATCGATTCGAAGGGCTTGCACAAATTGGAAACAACGGGGAGTCCCATCCGTTGGATGATCCAATAATTACCCGTCGGAATTCCCTACCTTACCAGCACTTGTTACACGAAAATTCTCCATTTTCTATTAGTGATTTTGAATCACCTGTTGGTCGGAAATGATCTCTTCTTAGGGATGTTACAGTTGTCTCGCTTTTATAGATGTCTCTAATAGTACCGGAATTCAAGCTTTTTAATAATCTCTGCTTTTTTATTTATGTTTGAGTGTAAATAAATTTTTTCAAATATCTATTTGAATAGGCAAAAATTTAATTGCTCTCTGACGACACATCAAATATGACGGAATTCGGTAATTAATACCCCCAAGTAATTTATTTATAAGTAATTTAGGTAGAATATGTAACTCCGCGAAAAGTGAAATTCCACGAGAAAATAGTAAGCTCTCCCTGCACCCCTGGGCAATCGGTATCGCGCCATCACGGGAACTCACCCCAGCTATGAAGCCCCCTCCCACGATCACCTCCTCCGGACAGTTTGATAGGCTTTTCCTCCGGAACTCCCCAGAGGCAGCAACTCGAATCGACATTCGGCCGAGCGACCACTCGGAGACACGATGCAAATTCAATTCGCGCGGATACTCTTATCCCCCATCCCTCGAATATACCGAAAGAGTACGCCTCTGGGATCTCCGTTTATATCGTAGTCATCGGAGTCAGAGCCGTTTGAATACCGAGTCTCTTTTTCCTATCCCATCCTCTCACATATCAAAAGTTTATGCGCAACGATACGACAAAAATATCCCCATAGCCGTGTCAGCCGCATGTGCCAGTGGATTGTATAAAAGGACAACACTGACAAAATAAGAAAAATTCTTCAGAAAATGTCCAACTCGCCAGTTACCCTGGCATACGCGTAGAATACTTGAGGCTCGACTTTCGACCCTTTCCCACCCCCTGAATAACCCCCCAACTCCCCCTCAACTCCAACCCACTCTAAAAGCCGGATGGGGTGAGTGGTGACGTTGAGAACGTTTCGCATAAAGTATTCTTCCCCGGTCGATCGACAGCCGAAGAAACTGAGTTACGACGCTACGTGGTAACTGTCACCCATCTCATTTTACCCCCAGTCTCTGGCTGAGGGGGTGGAAGACTTGGTGGAAGAATAGTCTCCAGAGGATCCGAATGATACCTAATGTCTTAAACTCGAGTTGCATTTTTTTATTTTTTTACCCACTCGTGTCTTATTTCATTGTGATGGGAGTTTAATCTATATCACCGGAGAGGATGTCATGAGAATAACGATTAGGGGGGAGGGGCTTGATGTTCTCCGCTGTTGAGAACATCAGAGTATCAATGATGCAGGTGAAGACGATGTCGTGAGCATCGGCAATTTAACCCGGTGTACTCATGGGGCTCACAATGTTTCAACATTTGTGTTTGAAATCTAGGGACTGGAACAATTGAGGTAAAAATTTATGCTGTAGAGAGTGAATGACAACCAGGACTGTTCAGCACGAGCCAGATACAAATGAAGGAGACGAGAGAAAATACTTGACTGGAAGAATAAAAAAAATGGCATTGCGCGAGTGAAAAGACTCGGCGGTGGCACGCGCCAATGTGATCACTCAAGGAGCCAAACGCCAACGTCAGGGGCTCCGGAGAGTTAATAAAAACCCCGACAATCGATTATCGTAAACGTTACCATTCGCATCCTCAATCCTATACCGCAGTGCCCACAGTACGAGCAATCGATGAAGAAATCAATTTATTGGGTGCCAATCCGACGCTTCCTAATTTTCCTTATTTGTTGGAAAAAATTCTATGACAAAAATGAAAAATAATTAAATATTGGAAAAAAGTAAAATATTTCAGTGAAAAATAGAAAATTGCCGTATGCCGAGCCTTCAAAATAAATTAATCCTGATACTCGAGGAGGGAAAATCACCCGAGGATTCTAGTCCTGGACAAGGATTTACCGCGTCAGGCGCGTCATCATCCCCGAGCTGGTTTCACGTATGGTTTCACCCCATGTCCGTGGGATTAAAAAAAATGTCAATTTTCAATTATCACCCGCAGCACGACCGTCCGTAAAATACAGGGTAAAAGGGGGCTAATGGAATTTTTTAGGAGGAGATTATTTTGTGTGAGTTTTGCCAATTTTCATGCACCCCTCACCAACGTCCCTGTCCTCTTTAGCCCCTATGGTGGATGAGAGCTGGATACAAAACTGGACTGACGATGAATTAGTCCTTTCACATCCCTCCCCATTTTTTTTTTTCATCTTTTTTCAACGAAAAATGCACCTGACAAATGTAAATGGAACTGGCTGGCGGAAAAATTAACAGTTATCCGAACATGACAGGGATAATTGTCCCAACAATTGTTGCTGTATCATGTGTCGCATTTAATTCGGGATATTAATTAATCTCTTAGGACTTTTCATTATGAATTTTCAATTTGAGTCCAGTAAAATTGTCTAATTTTTTTTCAATTTTTCAACTTTTGAATTTTATACCTCTTTTTAAAGAATTTTTTCTTTATAAATTGAAGAAATATATAGAATTAGCGGATATTATATATATTTTTGATATTTTTTTCAGGGGAGTACGCACCGGCGGCTTATTGCCGAATGTCGTATGGGCACGGCAGTTGTAAATAATACGGAAACCACGGGAAAAAGGGGAAAAGGACCTAGAGGTTCATGGTTGGTGTACGGGACGAGGGCCATATTTCAAACAGAAGGGGGTGGCCTCTCAGGGGCCGTGAATACCTTAATAGACATAAGGTATATCATATACGGAGACTTTTCATACTGAAACGTCCTCTGGTATTTGCACATGAGAGAAAAAACAACAGCGAATAATGGAAATTTATTCAAAGTGCGGGAGTCAATGGGAAAAGCCATTATATTTTCGTTTGGATTAATTTTTCCCAGTAAGATTGAAAAATTGTAAAAGGAAAAAAAAAAGTGATGATTTTCAGATTATTGTCGAGTATTTCGAAAGGATAAAGCGAAAAAAAAAAATGATAAATCCCCTCCGATACGATCTTGCAATGATTAACGTGGAGTAATGACCTCCATTAATGAAAAAGCTCATCACCAGAATTCTGGAAGACAGTACGGTAGTCATTCCCCCAATGATCATAACTCACTGCTTACCCCATAAATTCAATAATAACAGTAGTCTCAATTACACTCAATGATCCTGACAATACAGAGGGCATTGATTCTCTCTCCGACTTAATCACCGCTCATGGAAAAACCTCAGGGTTCAGGGCTGTGAGCAGGCGAACGTGACTATTCGAGAGCTCAACACAAGTGCCAAAACCTGCGGGGGCTGCACCCCTCCTCTTGGTAAGAATCATCACCCCTTTTCCCCTTGCTCATCTCCCCCCTTGAGTACCATCTCACATACTCTCAGCTCAATTAATCTTACCCAGAATGCAATAACTGTCCAATCTGTCCGGTTGCCAGAGCACTTGGGTCACTGGTTGTGTCGTGGAGATTCTTCCGCACCGACATCCTCTGGGCAATTCTCGGAGCTCCTCGATTATGAACTGCCCGATATTTTTTTCTTCTCGAAAATCTCGAAATATTTATGGAAAAATGAGACCAGGAAGTTCTAGCGTTTCTCAAGAGGTGAGGAGAGGGAAAATGAGATAGCATTTCTGCGTGCCTCCAGTCTCAGTCGTATACCAGAAGCTCCAGGGGAGTGAAAACATATTGGATCGTTAAGGACTCGGCAGTTTGCCTAACTAGTAACGACCAACTGTACTATTCCTTCGGACCCTCCTGATTCCTCAAGAGCAGCTGAGACAAAATGGTAATAAAGATACCCGTCTCCTCGATTTTTAAGGGGTGAGCAAGTAACGGCCACAGTCCATTAATCGATATCGCAAAATCATAAAAAGTTAATCAGCATTTCACTTTTTTGCCGAGAAAATTGGAAATTCGAGTTATTGAGTAAAATTAATTTTTCATTCGTAGATCATTTCAATTGAATTATTCGGGAAATGAAGTCTCATCTCATTGAGTTGGTATTAACATATTATTATGGTTATTCTTATAATCTATCTCCATTGGTCGCTAAAAAAATTAATGCCCCCAAAAAAGTAGGAGCGAGATGGATTCAATTCCACATTATGAAAAGTATTCATGAAAATGTACGTAATACACAAGTGTTATCGTACTATGCAAATTCTCGTTGAGTTTAAATACGCCAGTGGAAAATTTATGTGCATAGAAATTACCTCTGGCTGCCCTCGAGATGAAGTATAATAAGAGAATAAAAAAAAAATTGAGTGAAAAAAAAAATGGAACAATCCCTCGGAAATGATGGAATGCAAATCCCCAAGACACAGGTAATTCACGCTCAAAAAAGAAAATTCACATTTTACAAATGGTAACAGCGTTTATTGTTAATAATAATGACAATAATGTTAATAGCGTAGGTGCGGGATGGGAGAGGGGTGGGAGGAGGGGGCTAATTACATTAATTACATAATAATCAAATAAAACAATTAGAATTGAGAAGACTTTGGTTCACGACTCGTAGAGACCATTTTCTGGAATTCAGCGTCGCTCTTGTTACTCTCGCTGACAACATATTCATATTTATATATTCTCATTCAATAATAATTATTATTGATTCTTAAATTATACACAGATGCCGCTAGATTTTATTCTCTGCAATGAATTTTCAGACTTGCTATTTACAACAATTGTCGATTTTAATTATCCTCAGGATTTCATTTTCGAGTCACTTATCCTACGATTAATCTTCCTTAATTCATTTAATTATCGATTAATTGCGCAGATATATTACAGCACGATTCTCAACTTGAAACGGAAAATAAGAATTTACATATACAACTAATCTTTGGTTACCGAAAAAAGCGGGTTATCGTTAATTTACAAATAGTGGTTATCTGATTTTCTTTGAGGAGGGGATATCTTGGATTAAAGATTTTATCGTTCACGTGGAAATTATCAGAAATAAATGTACAGGTAGGACCAATTGAGAATTTCAATTCGTCAATCGGAAGATCTCGTCGGTGGTTAGTAATTGTAGGAAATTGTGGAGCAGATTACCCCTAACAAAAAATTCATTTTATTGTAAAATTTCCAAGTAATAGTATGTTTTGAGGATTTATTGTAAAATCGTGGTGTTCGCTGTTACGAGATTGCTCGGTGCAATTGCGCCGATTGAGGTACGATGTGGTGGATTTACTGGTGGTGCAGCACCGAGTTCTGCGTGCTGGGTCTCACGGTGTCTTCTCAGATCAACTTTCCTCTGGAATGCACGCCCACAGAGATCGCAAGCGAATGGTTTAAAACCTGTGTGCTTTCTCGAATGTGTTATCAAATTACTGCTCTGGGAGAAGGCTTTTCCGCAGACTTGACATTTGTGGGGCTTTTCACCTGCAATCATAAAAATGACAAACTCCATATTAATTCGGCCCATTTTTCAATTGTTCATTTCCACAGAAATTCATTCTGCTCAATTTATAAAATAGACATTTCAACAAATTCAGGGGATATCCTCAATAAAATCATTTCCACCGATACCTCCGATTGGCAATACAATAACTCTCGAGTGCCCCCTCGACCCCTTCCCCATAAGCCAACATTCTCGCCAAACCAAAACCCGAGAATAACTCGAAAAAAAAAAACTCCAATAAATATAGTAAAGGGTAAATCCCAGGGTCTCCAGCCGGGCGAAGAGGAAAAGAGTCAGTGGAGTTCTTGAATTGGTGGTAGTACATCCTGAATGCGGGGCACGCCCGGTCAAGATTTCCTCCCAAGCGAGAATCTCAGCCCCAGCTCGTCCCCACCCTCACCAACACAATGAGAATCTGCAGTAGTTGGACGTCACCGGTGGAGAAATTTCGTGAAACGTTAAAGCTCGACCCGCCAAAATAACGTTTTTCCCCCCTCCGTCGTGCAGTCGGGCCCGGGGGGAGAGAATTTATCCAGAGGGAGGGGTCGTCTCGTTTGTCTCATCTCTAGCCACTGGGCGCTCTGATTGGCGGCTGGGGGCGTCTCCAGCCCCCAACCGTTGCCATGACGACAAAACGGATGTGCTGGAGGAGAGGAGAGATGAGCGCGCAATATAAACTCGCGCACTATCTCACCATTTCAGTGCAGCTGAGTGAGAAAAAATGCATTGCATGTCTGTGTTAGAGGCACGAATCTAGAATCCACCCCTTCCACCCCCTCACGAAACGTTGATGGACTTTTCCTCTCCATTTGTTTTCACTTCAATTTTTTTATCTCATTTTGCTTGGTCTTTTTTTTTGTTTTCTTTGCTTTTTTTTTGTTGTTTTTTTTTTTGGAGTCGATTGTGCAAACGTGTTTCGCACGAATGAAACGACGCATTTTATGGGGTGGTTGGGGTATAACCTGGTGGCCAGCGCCACATACGGTACCCATAAACAACTAGTTAACCGAAAACTTCAATCTCGTATTGCAACCCATCGATTCCTACTGTTGAGTTATTTTTTTTCTGGGTATTTATTTCTACGCGTTTCCGGGAGTACGTCTTGTTTTTTTTTTCCCCCAAGTTTTTGGGGGCAAGGGGTAGGATGCGAGAGGGTGGCGCATGCGTGGGTGGAGGGAGCTCTTCAGGAATTTACGGGGTCGTAAAAATCAAGAACCGTCCGGAGCTTCTACCGAGGTTGCCCGTCGCTTTTTATTCTCCACTGGAGTACGTATCTGTGCTCCTCTTTCCAGTGGGGGATTCAACTGTGGGTTGGAGTAATTTTGGAGATGTTGGGGATTTGCACGGAGTTTAATGGATTTTTTGACGATTTAGAATGAGTGGATTTTTCAGTGAATTCGTGGGATTATAAAAAAAAATGAAAAATGATATATTCATGCAAAATGAATTAATTGGTAAACGTAAAATTGAGGGCTCTTTAATGGGAAAATAGTTGTTTGGAGGATTTGAGGGGAATTGAGAACCCCTGCGGACTTAAGACGCCATTACATCCCCAGGATCGTCGACCGCTGACGCCACCGCCCCTAAAACTATATTAAACTCCAAGAAATCTTCCCTCTAACTCAACTCCACCCTTGGAGCACTAAAACCCACCAAACCCTACCCTTTTGTGTCCCAGCGATTTCCAAAAGTTTTATCGCTTTTCGAGAGACACTCAAGAACTTTGCCCATCATTTTTTTCCACCCTCTCGTACCTGCACTCGTGTCTTCATTAAACTTGAAGGAAAGTTGAGAAAAAGTGGTGGAAGGAGCTACCGGAGTTGGAGAGACAAGCAATCGGTTTTCAGAGTCGTTTGTCTTGGGTTATTTGGGAAATTGTGTTGACGGGTGGTATTAGTCCATGGGAGGCATATCATGGCGTGATTTAACTCGGAATTAATTTCAAGATTACTCAGTCAGCGAGGGATAATGCTTAACCAATTGGAGGGACTTTGTAGATGAAGGGATTCATCAATTTTGGAGGATCGGGGGCGCCGAGTTGATGAGATGTCATCCGTTATCTCCAGTCTATATTGCAACTTGTTCAGCTCGAATTTATTCAATGATTTTTTTTTTCCAAATTGTCAAAAAACCATTAGAAAATTTTATCTCCACTATTAAAGTTTTCACGGCATGGAAATTTTAGGCGAAATTTTTTTGTTGCAGCCTAAAATAATTTTATTCCCTCGAGAAAAATTGTAGTATATAGGTAAAAATTAAAACCCAGAAACCTCATGCCATAAACAGCAATATAAAATGTGTCGTAAAATATGAAGGATAAAAGCCGTGCCATGGTGGAATAAAAAAAAAATGGTTGATTGGAGGGAGGGGATAAAGAGAAAATCAAGTGAGGAAGCAAGTAGTAAAGGTCCTTCGAGGTGGGGCAGGGATTCTAGGTTGAAAACGGAGTGCTGTGGAGGAGTTGCCTGGTGGAGGCATTGATTTCCTCTCGTCTCCATCGACCAACCCCTCACCACCCCTCAGCTACAAGAACTCTCTCTCTCTCTCTCTCTCTCTCTCTCTCGTCAGCCCTCCAATCCAAATCCCCGCGAGAGGTGAGCTCCAATGCACACAGTGGGAAAAAACGAGAGAAAAAAAGAGAGGAGCTCCAAGACAAGAAGACGTGTGAGACGAAGTGAGAAGATCCGAGACGACGTGCATTGGATGAGGCTGGGAGAAAAGGGAATCCTGGTGGAAACCACATCTCATATTTCACGTCGAGGACAGCCTGGATTTTCCTCCATCTTTCTCGAGCCCAGACCTGCCACTGGGATTACTCGCTTCGATATCAATCGTATTGAAGTTATATCTCGGCTGAATACAGCGCTTTCCACATAAATGGAATCATTTTTTTTCTCCTCCACGTTTTCCAAATTTTTTATCGTATTGCTGTTTAAAAAATGCCAACAGAATAAAAATAATAATTATTGGCAAATGATTTTTTTGATTATTTCAAGGAAAAGGTAAATAAAAAAATGAATAAAATGGCCAGATTTTTCTAGTGACTTCTGTAGAGACGAGTTTATTGGAAATGCGTGGAGTATCACGGGCAGGGTTTACCTGGTGACTCGACATTCCATCGTTGGCCACCACCGGGGAACACAGAGTTGTACATGCTTGTATGTACACTGGGTCCCAGGGCAACACTTTGACCCTTTCCCTCCTCTTTTACCACTGATCCAGCTATCCGTGTAGTTTGGGCATACACCTATAGAAATATACCTACAACGAGCTGTTGAGAGTAGCTTTCCACTCGGACGAATTTCCACGCATACATCGGCTTTCGGTCCACTGGGATACGTTGCTTGTCATCGATCCGGTTCAAACGTGTCACCCCATCGTCGAGATGTGTTTCGAATTATTCACCAGTATTATTTCCATGTCCTAGATATCCTCATTAACAATTTTCCCAATTCATTATATACGCGGGATTATTCCCTTGGAGAAATGGAACAGCATGGGAAATAAATAGCCGTCGATTTATTAATTGTACTGGAGGATAAAAGTGTGAAATTCTCATCTCCGTGTGAGATGAGAATCAGAAGGCTAAGTTTCCAAACACATCAAGACGGTGAAGAGTGAAGTGAAGCAATGGAAAGATGATACAAGATGGGTAAGTGAGTTAGCTCCTTAATGCCTCTTCATACCCACGAGGGATCCCCTCAGAGTGTAATCCTGTACAACCCGATCAAGTTGGATGGATGGCTATTAAATTATTACACCACCGATCACATTAGGAATCGTGACAAATCCGATCTACTCCGTCCCCCATCCCCGCGCCATTTGTATCGGATATCACCTCGAGAAAATATCCCAGCGGTATTGAATGTCCCCGCGATAATGATTTTCCCTCCCTCTCCGCTCAAAGTATCATGTAATTTACATCGTACCGGAATTATCGACAAACACGAAATGGTGGATGAGTTACAATGGCGATACCGCTGTGGGATGAGTTCAACACTGTGTTGCAATAGCCATGTCAATATCCTGCTAAATTTAATCATACCGTGGCTATTCGACATTGAGGATGTTCACCATAATCCTCTCACCCCAGTTATATGATGAAATTTGCATTCACGACGGTTCACCTTGAGCTTGTATCTCCAATACCTCAATTTTTTTTTAAAGAAAATGGCCATTCAAATGGTCGTTTAGCATTAAAAAATTGTTGTGTGAGTGTGACGAAGGTAGGTAGAGGTAATGAGGTGTAAGCCTTGTAGGGCGCCTGTCACAAAGTTTAAAGAGCATCAGAGGGATGCTGTGGTGTTGGTGAACCGGAGATGTGGATGGTACTGCCCCTTTGGTTCTTCCACCCCTGCCCAGTCACCCGGAAACCTCTAATAGCCCCGCAAGAGACTAACACTCACTCACTGACACCTCTCTGCCCATCGACTTATGGCATTAACCACTCACATTTAAACCCATCTCAGGTGGCCCTATATTATTCATATCCGACAAACTTTGCTTTAAAAGTCGAGCTCACGAGCTCGAAAATAACAGGAAACAGATTACATTAATTATCCTAAATCAATAATATCAACTTCAACCAACAGTTAGAATCCTTGCGGCGAGGATGATTATGTGCAATATGTATTTTATATTGTTTTTGAAAATTTTTACAATCCAGCCAATTGCAGCAAATATATATTAAGGGTTTGTTGTCAATTGTTGTAATATTTTAAATTCAAATGGAGAGGAGGAGCGAAAATTTAATCAGCCAGCAAAAAAAAATCCCACTGTGTCATTTTTACTGTTAAAAAGGCGAATTTCAATGGTACCCCCCAAAAATAATACTGGAACAATCATAAACCTCGAATGCAGTGGTTTTAATTGAATTCCACTCTCTGGAAGCAGAAGAGAGAAAAATATCATTGAAGTCTCCACTTTGCACAGTAGACCGAGCAGGTTGTGTTTTCAATGATAACAAGGGGATTGACGAGTGATGACAGAAGTGCTGGTTCCAGCACGAGTGATGGGAATTGACCAGAAATATGGAGTCATCACAAAATCAGCGGGCCAGTGTTAAAAAATCGTAACATACAAACGGACCAGAACCACAAAGGGGAAAGATCCAATTTAATCCAATTTAAATGCATCGAAGTAAATTTTTACAAGTTACAATTACAAGTATATTTTTTTTCCGCGAATGACCCCAGAACCCGATATTTATTTAAGATGACAACCGAAATGGTGGCGTATGGGGCCAGAGATTACATTTGGTATTTACCTAGCAGGGGCTAGTGAATACGCACTTGTCGGTGCTGTCACCAGTTGGGGGATATTTTCTGGGGAGGTAAATTTCACCCTGAAAGAAATAGTTTCGACCCTTTGACAAGTTAAACACGGGATAAGCTCGGTTACAGGGCCATTTTACGAGGTGGTGGATTGGTTAACCAGTAACTCAGGAAAATTCCATGTATCCAATTACATTAAGCAGGTAAATCCCTCGATTCAACAGAATTATTCATGGGCGACGGAGGCAGGGGGTTGGCAAGAATTGGCAGTTCATAAAGTTGATATTTTTCAATGTATAAATTTTTTTATGTGGATTTAATGGATTGAGCATTCGCCCCGCATAAGTCCATGGAAACAATCCACGTCAAATGCTCTTCCACCTAGATATCCTGGTGTGAAATCTCATCACGACCATGAAAAAAAAAAAAAACTCGTAGCGTGTCCTGGTACGTGATGCGTGCCGAGGCCGAGGGGTCGCCGATTGTCCCGAGTGACTCTCGGCTCTAATGATAATCAAGATCGTCGTCAATGTTTTCATCTCTGTCTTGCACTCGTATCGGTACACAACTGAGTATATTCTCAACTATCCAACCACCCCCTGCAACCCTTGACGGTGTAACATGCCTGGGCCATGTGCACCGAGGGTGCGGCAACGTAAGATTCCCCAGGGTACGTCGTGTGGCGTTACGTAAAATCATTATTAGTTGGGTTAGGTATGACAGTATGGGATTGAACGAATAAACTCGAAAGCGTGACACTCCGTTGGCACCAAGTCCTGAATAAATATTTTTTTCGACGCGCCAAATTATCGATCATTAATTAAAATCTGATAGGTGAAGATAAAGCAATAAAAATAATGGAATTAATGTAACCGAGGGTCTGGAGTAATTATAAATACAAAATCGTGACGATAATTAAGGGATAAATGATTTGATTTGGTTGAAGCACAGGGATAATTAAATCTCAACAAAAAGGGAATATAATTAGCGATGAGACACTGATTATCATGAGCACGAAACCCCCCGCCCGCGAAAACTCTCTATTTTAATTCCAATTGCGTCGTTAATTTTCTTATGAAAAATATTTTATTCATTTCTATTGAGGGTAATATTTTTAATAAAATATGAAATACGATAGGAGTTGTTAAGCTCCATGAAATCGATAATTGAATAAATACTTGATCACACCAAGAATCGAATTGTCGGATTAATTGAGAAAGATTTATTAGAGAAGATAAAGATTGTCCAATGTCGATCCATTTCGAGTGGTAATTTCACGTATCACGAGTTTTCGTAAATTTTTCATCTCGTTCCGCTGTGAATAATGAATTAAATGTTCCGTAGCGAGCATTTGTCGACCCTTGACGAAACATTGGAGGAAAGTCCCTTAGGTTGTTAGGGAGGTAGCAAGTGACCATCGGTTTTGCTCTTTGTACTTGGCCTTTTGTTCCTCTCATTCCACTCAACTTCGCGCTGCTCGTTTTCTTCGGGGATTTTGAGATGCCGTGAATGGGAAAAGGGCCAGAGGACAAGGTGATAATTTGATAAGACATTGGGACGGGGGTTACCATGACTACGATACAAAACCCAGGGATAACGTGCACTTATTCCACGCCTCTGAATACGCAACCCCTCGATCTACCTTTTTCTTTTTTCCCACCCACTTTCACTTGTATCTTCCATCATTCTGGTGTCACACCAAGTGGCAAATGTCTTTGAAAAAATATTCCTAATCAAGGTGACTTGATTAAATATTTCTGTCAATGACGAAATAATTCGGTTAATTAATCCACTTACAGAAACTCAAAGTTCATAAGAAAGAAATAATAACGAAAATAATATCCTCCCACTGGGCTGACAATTAATTGAATAAAAAAAAACAGGGAGTGAAATCCAGTTCCCAACGAAACCCGATACTTCATTCCCAAAGCCTGAGTGAAATTTCCCACGAGCTGATAATTCGTCCAGGCAGTAAAAATCTATTTGAAGATTGGTCCCCAGTTGTATTCCCCAGTCAAGAGTCGAGTCGACCAGACACCATGAGTAAAATTGGGGAGATGAGCAAAAAGAGTGGAATGGGGGATGAGAGGATTTACAAAAGAGAGACAGAGAGTGGAGCTGGTGCTTTGGAAAAGGGCATTACGATTATTACCGGGCGTGTGCCGTACCCATCCCTCGTATTCCCCTCTCTATGAAAATGCCACATGTGTATGTGAAGCAAGAGAGATGAATTCAGTCCAGACGCTCCATTGAATTATTTAATGCGCCAAAACTCGCCACTATTTGATCCAAACTCACTGAATCCGTGGATCACTCCGTGCAGGTAATAAAAACTCTCCCCCCAATTATTCTACCATTTTCTCTTTCTTCCCTATTCTCATTTTAATCCAATATCAACCTATTATTATTATTATTAATATTTTTTTCAATTTAACGATTTATTATTGATTATGGACTCACCGGTGTGGATGTATGTGTGTTTCTTCATGTCGCTCTTCTGATGAAAACGTTTGCCGCAGAATTGACAGGGATAGGGTCGTGTGTCTGAGTGAATGAGGAGATGAGTGCTGAGAGTACTGGAGCGTTTGAAAGCTTTGCCACACTGTTTGCACTCGAAGACTTTTTCAGCAGAATGCACTGCCCGATGCTGAGTGAGACTTATCTCATGGCCAAATGTTTTATTGCATAGTTCACAGGCAAATGGACGTTTTCCATTGTGCGATCTCCGTGCGTGCACCTGAAGTTATCATTTAAAAAAAAACTAATGTTTAATCATCGGAAATTCATAATTTTGGTAAACTTTTATTAAATAGCCACGGGAAAAATGTTTGCCACAAAAAATTGGCAACCCCTAAAAAACTGCTGAGAAAGTAATTCACCTCAAGCCCATGTGGTGTGCTGAACATTTTGTCGCACTTGACGCAGCTGTAGACGTCCCCGAGAGGATGTGGATGATGGAGGCCATGAGTATGTGGTGAATGGAGTCCAGGATGTGCTGGATGAACACCTCTGAGAAGAGGATGGAGATGGGGTGGTAATAAATGGTGAGGAAGCAACTGAGGATGGAGATAGGACAGTGGATGTGGATGTGGATGTGGGGGTAGGAGTCCTCCCTGCAGGTGAAGATGTGGATAGAGGCTGATGCCAGGTGTTGGTTGATGGGCAACTGGTGTGTGATCAGGCGAAACTGGTGAAGAATTTCGGTTTGATGGCGGATCTGGCCTGAGTAACGCTGACACACTAAAGCTGTCACCCGATTTTCTCAGCGGACGTGTCATGAGCGACGGCGTCTGGGTCAGCGACGGCGATGGAGTTGAGTGACTGGACCTTGGGGAGGTATTGTTATCCCGGTACTCCTCATCTCCGACCTCCTCAACATCAACGTCCACCTCTTCATCCTCTTCCTCGTCTTCCTCCCCGTCAACGTCAATCTCCTGATCCCTCTGACCTGTCGCTGGGGAGGAGGGACCGAGAGAGGGTGAGGGCGAGGGACTTCTTGTCGATGGAGAGCCCACTAATCGTCCCACACCGAATGATAATCGTTCTGAAATACAAAACGTTTCGATACATCAAATTGCTATTGGTTTTTTGTTATTATTATTATTTTTTTTCCCAATTGCTAAAGCAACTTGAATCGAGTGGATTTTTAACTCGACTCGGGGCAAATTTTTCGAGGGCTCTCCTCTCAATTTCATAAATCATCATTGAGCTCGATTTAAATCTCCCTCGAAGAATTCTCCTCGACTGGTATAGTGGTAGACAAAAATTACTATCGGGATAGGCACTGAAATGAGATTTGAGTCACGTACACTCGGGTATTTTCTCGAGGGTAAAGTGGAGGAGAAAAGACTCGCAGGATCCTCGGCTCTAACGAGGCAAAACGTCGGGTTGGAGAGAATCGAAACGTTGGAAATCGTGGAAATTCCACGAAAGGGAGAGACTCCTACGCTTGTGCGAGGACTTTCCACCAAGATTCTGGCAGCAAGTCTTGATTACTTTCGACGTGAAAAACCAGACGAGACACTTATTCGGCTTTCACAATCGATTTCCCGGGCTCGATGGCGTGAATTTTCCGAGGGGAAGGGCCAGAGAATGCGATTTCATATGTCCTGCCAGGCTATATCATATTTATAATCTGTGTGGGCGACACGCGGGCACGTGCCCCAACTGGGTATATTATATAGTGCTCTGTAATTGCGTTTAAAACCAAGTGGAATCACTCCCCTGCTATTTTTCCGCTGGGTGATACTTCGAGAAACTCAATGCCGATTTTTCAATCATATCCAAGTGGAATTTCCCATTAAAATAAAAAATCTTCTTCCCTTAAAAAAAAATCTGGTCTAATGGAATGATTTTATTTATAAATTAATAGATTTTGTGGTAAATTCTTATTTTAATAATAATTATTTTTCTTAAAATTTAGAACAGACTCTCGAATGGATGTAATCGGGACCGTTGCCCTCCTCAAGATTTTTCCCATTGTGATGACATTAATCGGTGGATCGGACGACGGATTAAAGTTGTTCGCTAACTCGATCTAATTGTCCTACGCTCGCCCCCCGGTCTCCCTCCGATCTCCTTCAATCTCCTTCTCTCTCGATATTCCGGGGAAGAGCTTGTTGGTTTCATCATATTGAGTGGCCAGCAATAAATCTAGGCTCATCATTAAAATTTAATTACTCGATGAATAAACGCTGTGGCGTAGGGTGGGTGGCAATGCGAGCGCCTACCCGGACACATTACTTATTTAATTCAATTCCCTGGCCGTTTTTTTCCTCTTTTTTTTTTATCTTTTTGGGGGGCTTTTTTTTTCGAACATCTGCGTGCAGAACGCACTTTTTACCGAGCACTCATTCTCATTTTCGTTCGTCGCTCCCGGCTAGACTTTTTACCGCATTCCAACACTCGAGCATTTGCCTAAGCAGTTGTCTTTCAATCGCGGTTAATGCATCCTTCTGGCTCTCATGCATTGTCGTTGCATTTTTGGGAGAAAAAAAAGGGGTAAAAAGTGTGTGAGAAAAGATTGAAGTGGTGAAAAACCGACAAGTGAATCGGAGATTGTTGTTTTAAAATAATCGCAACCAGTGAATTTCCGAGATTATTTTTTATAATGATAACGTCAATTGAAAAATCGAGTGCTGGCCGCCCCCGTATTTTCATAAAAATCCATCAATTTCAATTTAGTTGAAAGTTAAAGTTTAATAGCGTAAAGAGTAAAATAAAAATAAGGGGGGGGGGAAGAAAAAGATTATATTGGGGCTTTGGTCACGTGCGAGTGGCGTATGTGGTGTATGTGGGTGCGTTTAACATGACAAGTCGTTACTAATTCAGGGTAGGTATAACTGTAGAGATGTAGAGGAACGGCGCTAGCAAGTACAAAGGGACCGACCGACCGAATCCCTGTGTTGTGCCTCTAATCTGCTTCAATTGGGGTGACGGTCGAACCGACAGGAGTATTCGAGAGGGGAGGGACAGGAGGAATCTTGGCTTTAAGAAACGAGGAAGTCACCAACGTCGAGGAGGATGGAGATGTATCGTGGCTCTTGCCATGGAGATTAGTAAAAGGAGGCACATGACGCGTGCTACCATTTATACCAATCATCATTGATGAAGGAAAAACCGACGTTCATCCGGGTGAACTGTGCGGAAAAGGCTTATCTCCTGTCCTTCAAATACAACACGCTGACAATAAATATTTTCAGAATAATATTTATGCAAGATATATTTTTCAAATACATGTCTCTCTCGCGTTTACTTCACTTGCAAATATTTTATTTATATATTTTTTCCTCACCTGTACTATTTTTTCCCAGAGAAGGTAGGGCATCTCCATTACCTCCAAAAGGCGCCCACAGCCTTGGGAACATCAGTCTCACATTGCAATTATCTGCGATAAAAATCGAAAGACTTCAATTAATAGAAATAAATAGAATGGCTTTTTAAAATTTTTTATTCCTCAGAGCCGGAGGGCTTCCATTTTGAAAAAAAAAAAACTGAAATCTCCTGGAAAAAATTCCAGCGGTATCTCTCCCCTCCCCAGTGACTAGGGATTCGACGTTTGGAACGTCTCAAACAAACCCCCAAAATTTTAGTATTCTGAATTCGTCGGGAAGATCAACCCCTCGACAAGGGTGTCTTTATTAGAACCAAGAGAATGGGTGGTCCCTCAATTTATCTCGCCAACCTCTTCGATTCCATTAAGAGGTGCCACCGGCGCGATTCTTTATTTCCCATTTCTCCAGCTAAATCAGATGATGGTTGAATCGACGTATTTTTTCTGCTCAGAGAATAATTGAGAATAATGAGGAATATCTTTTTTACATGATCAGTAAAAAATGGAGGCTTGAGAAAAATATTGGAAAAAATAGTGATGTAATCCAGGTAATAGAAGCAGGATAATCCAGCGATAGGCCGAGGTCCCCCTGTTGCTGGCACAGATTAGACTGCAAGCCGCAAAAGTTATCTCGCACCGATGGATTATCGAGAATAAATCATACCATTTTCCCCGATACAAATACACCCACAACACCGCAAACACTGAAAAATGAAAAAAAAAAAAAAATGCCATCGATGTATTATTGAAACGCACACATAGATAACGGATGTCGGTGGTGCGAGACAGTATGGTGCATATTTACGTTATTCCGGGTAAGATAGAGCGAGCGAAATGCATCGATGAGGCGTATCTATACCCTGACACCTTTTTGTACACACAAATGCACCAGGTATGCAGTGGGCTTAGTCTCCCTATCGCTCATGCTGTCGTAAATCTATAAATCGTAAATCCAACGTGATTTCAAACATAAGGGACAAATAAAACAAAAGGTGAGACAACTCGAATGCCATTTTTACAAATAAAAATATTCTACGCCTTCAGCACGGAAATTAATGTCGTAATTCAATAAAAATTGTGGATTACACTGAAAAAAATTAATTATTCCTGGTGGATTTTGATTTTACTGTTTTTTGCATTTAATTTGACGATACCAGAAATTCAGGCGTTGTCATCTGAAATTCTTAGTGAAAATTAGTGTAAAAATTTTGAACGTCTTATTTTTTAATATAAATGTTATATGTAAATATCTTATTGTTGCGACTTTCTTTATGAAAGAATGTTGTGAGATGATGGTGATCATGATGAGTAATTACTTCTAAAAATAGTGATTCCGATAAAAATAAAGCTCGAGAAAAAGGCAGATGATAAGATAAACAAATATCGTGTTGTGATTATGATGAAGTGGGTAAAAATTGAATGGATGAATATCGGGTGGGATTTTAATGGAAAATTGGACGTGCCATGGATTCGCGTAATTCCCGCTGGATTTGGAATGATAAACGGGTGTTTGTCGGATGAATATATAGATCACTGGACGATTGAATACCGGATCGGGGGACTGTCAGATGCATCAAGTGAAGACAGAAATCAAACTGAAGCTGTCAAACACGCCATGTTTATCCCTCCAGTGTCTAATACCGGGATGAGTCCAGTTCACCTGTTGAGTAACGCCTCACGCACCTGCACGCAATCACAGGACAATGCAAATATGTCCAGTCACCGATCTAGCAATTATTGCAAACTAATATTTCCCCTTTCAATTTGAAATATGGAGTTGGAGGATATCTCTATATCTCTTGCTAATTTTATGATTTTTTAAAATGTACCATATGTATCAGAATGATTATTGAACTGAATTCCACGGGAAATTTCAAGGGAGCTAATGAAACCTCCGGATCCAAACCCATCGATAATTTCAGAAATTTCTCCGCTTTGAACTTGCAAATAGACCCCTCAATTCTCGCACTGAGGACCCCTCAATCTCCGACGTGCACTGCAATTCCCATATCAATGCAGGGCTAATAACCAGGTAATCACAAACGTGATAACAGAACAGAGCGGGCGAGTGCAGCCGACGCACCCCGGGAGTATCGGAAAGCGTTTTTCTCCCCCAACGGTGAAAAACCCGGCGTTGAAAAAAGAAGAGAAAAAATTTCTCACCACTCTCGGAGATGGTGTGCTCCTGTCCCTCATTATTATTGGTCTCCTGATGTGCAATTGTCGATTGTTTTGGCTTGACAACGCGAAATGCCGATGCCTCGGCGACTCCACGACGTGAAAAATCGAGGGGTCCGACGCCGACCGGCGAGTGCTGTTGCTGCACCTCCATCATGATTATCAACAATCAAAATGTCATAAACACTTCACTTCACTGAGGTAAAAACCCCCGATGGAATTTCCAATAATTACAGCAAAACTGTCATCACGAACGTTTGAAAACAGTAGAAAATGGCAAAAAATCCAGAAGAGTGGTAGGTGATAACAATTGTAGGGACTGACAGGTGATCGAAGGAATCGATCAACGATCGGGGATTTATTTTATTGGAATTAATCTCCTCGGAATTTTCGTGGGGACGTTGATAGCGAGTGCGCTTCGACAGTCGACTGCTGTTAACGGTTCTCTGATAGTGGGCACCAAGTGCCCCCTCCATTGGTTTTGTTGACGGAACGAAAGTCTGAGGGGTTTCTGCAGTTGTAACGCACTTGGGATAAAAACCAGTGGCGGAGGGGAAGTGGAAGAGATGGAGACAACCACTGGGTTTGTTACCAGGGATTTTCGACGTTGAATCACGAGGCCACGCCTATTCACGCCGCTGAGGTTACGCCCACATTTATCCCTACTATTGCCACCCCCGCGCCACCCACCTCTGCCAGTAGTCACACTTGGATTCTCTTTTCTAGACCATCTGCCGGGAGAGGGACAGGCTCTGCCGATTCCTCGGTTTGCACCCCTGTACCACTTTCTTCTTCTTCTTCTTCTTCTTCTTTTAAATTCTACATTATGCGCATGCGGCTTTTTGTTACAGGGACTCATCATTTCGATCTTTTCTCGAGCCGAACCTCTCACTATTTTTTACCTCACTCTGCGTGGGCCATTTTAAGCCCAGAATTAACATTGATTCGATTAACCCCTCATCGCAACTTTTCGCCAACTCCGCTTTTCATATTTTTCCAACTGTACTCTAATTCGGTGCATGCAATATTCCTCCCTGTGGAATCATCTCAATATCCGATAAATATCTAATCAATTTTCTCTCCAGATTTGGTGCATATCGATTTTTGTCAGTATTCAGAATGATTTTGATTATTTCAAAGATACAGTTGATCGTGAATCTAATCGATGCGTACACGAGGTGATTCCAGTATCGGACACATTCTCGCAACTCATCCAAGAAATTTTCCCATGAGTTGCAAATTATAACCAATTATTATTATTATTGGCTGAAATTATATTTTTACGGTGTATTGTAATTATGGGACTCGCAGGTAGCGACATTAACTCTAACCAGTATTTCTCCAATATATTTGTGGATAGAGGTAAAAAAATGGGGAAAATGGGATATATATTTGTCTTTGGCTGGTTGCATCAATCATACTCGCTCACTTGGTTCGTCGTCTGCAAGAGCTCTCACTCCCTCGTGTGCCCGCTTTTCTATCATGTTGGGAAAAATTACTCACCGCCAGGAGACACACGACTCTCAAATAAAACGAGTCGTCCAATATAAAAATCCATAAAATACATAAAACATTGATATATCTTTCAAAATATCCATCATGAGCCCCTGAATATTCAGGGGAACGACAAAATAATTCAAATGATCGCCCCAATTCCTCCGACTGTCAAAAACCACTGGAAATTTGCAAAGTAATTTTAATTTTTTTTAATATACAATGCATTTTAACCACATAGGGTGAAATATTTTTTTTCTTAATACGATATTATTTATAGTATTAGAGACATTGAAAAAAAAAAAAATTGAACGAAAAATAGAATTGATGTGATAGTGAAAGCTGAATGAAAGAGTGCGATGAGAGGCGCCAGAACAACCATCACTTGATTCTCACTATTTAGTCGAAACACTCGTCGGAATGACGCCGACACCAGTGACTCACACCCTCAATCGAGCCCACCGACTTATTAGTGATTGTCTTGGTCTTGTCAATTGGTCATCACACGGGGCTATCCCATGTGGGCCCACAGTTGGGTTCCACCAGGAAGAGGAAGATAGCGCGACAATAAAAACAAATAGAAGTATCAAAACAAAAAGTAGACACTTTCGGTCTCGATTAAAGACGCGCAGATGTACTCCTGCGGGTCAACGGCTCTCTCTATCCTATTATCTATCATGTTCCCTTCCTCACTTTTTGAGGGACACGTCATCCAGCAGTCAGAGCCAAAAAAAAGAAGAAAAAACCAATAATAAAGTAGTGATGCCACGATTTAATTCTTGATACCATTATCGGGGAATAAATTTTCACCCGCCGCAATTCAGCCTTGAGTTCTCATCATGGACTTGATAATCTATCAGTGCATTGGTAGATTTCCAATCCAATCGATCAAATTTGCTATCGGTGGGAAAAGAAGATACGGTGAGATTAGGGGAAGGAAAATATAAACTCACAATTTCCTTTCTTTCATTCCGGGCAAAATGTCTGGAGCAATTTGGATATGCCTGGAAAATGAATGATTACATTGAGAGTGAAATTTCAAGAAATTTCCACCACTGTAAGTTTTGATTGCGCGTATGAGAGGAAACATATGGGAAGCTCGTGGTACAGAGTATCCTGAAGGAAAATTAACGGGGAACAAACGAGCGTGACCAAACCCTGCTTTATACGGTATGTTGCATACACGAGAATATGGGATACACATGCGTATGTACACATACTGAGTATGTGGGCCCCCAAGCTCACACAGGACATACGGTGTGGTAGTTTCTCCCCTTCTCTCTCACTATTTCACTCTTGGCTCTGTGTTCCCTGTGGACTGATATTTAGGGCCGATATTCATTAGCCAGAACCCCGACGGGGGGTGATGAACTGCACGGGAGCGCCGCTTTTCACTGCTTCAATAAAATAAATGCGCAACTAAAAGTCACTAGACCAAAAGAAAAACACATTCTTCCATAATTGCATCGACTTCATATTTATTCGTTTTACTGATAAATTATTATGATTATCCTGAGAAAAATTCACGGAAAATGAGTGAAAATTCTGGAATTGCGCAATCCAACAAGTGAAATAATGATGCCCGTAAAATTTCAGGTTTATATTCCGTCTATGGAAAATTAAAAAAATAACCTAAATATAAATGTGAGGGGAAAATTTTGACCAGTACATTGGAGAGAGGTAAAAATTCATGAGTCAGAAAAATATTCATCGGGGTCATTGAGTTTTCGGTTAAAGGATTGGGGCTGGGTATGTCGTCGCTTTGGTTAAAAAAACGGTGGAATCTGTCCCCGAGGAAAGTTGTAAAAATGATGGAAAAGGTGGGGTGAACGGAGTCTTTGATATGCTGAGGGGGTTGAATTATCAATTCAGATGAGGCCACTCGTTTGGTGAAACTGTTTGATCTGGTGAAAACCGCTTGGCCCCGACTGCTACTTTATCCCCCCAGGCTGTTCACATCCTTGTGCCCCCGGTTATAGCTACCATCAGTCTAATGTCCATGAAGAAGAATCTTCCAAAAAGATTTCTGTAATTATAATTCTTTGTTCACCCCGGGTTCATTCAATTTGGGGAATAACTATCAACGGCGATATTTCTATCGAATTGATTTCATCTTGGATTAGCCTCAATCAACGACAACAAGATGAACGATTTCTCGAATAATGGGTCGACCCACGTCCGAATTTATCGTTTCGCCCCGTTTTTTCTCTCTTAATTCGTAACCCGACAATTGGTTTGTGTTGTCGGGGATTAATTAATTATTGAGCTGTTAATACCGAGATGCGGGTAATACGCGGGTAATATGGGAGAATAACGGGCCGAGACTGCGCCAGCCAGCATCCTAGGGTGTCTTGCCTTGTTTTTTTTTTATGGTTTTAATGACCATTTGGCTCCTGATGAATGATTCCAACTTGTCTTCATGGGCTTCTTCTCTGCTGTACCATATAACTCTATATAACGCAATAATCGGTTAATTCCGGCAGGCGTACGCGCAGCGGTTGGCGCCAAGTCAATCTAAGTTACACCGGATATGCCTCTTTCGTCGGTGCCGATGAAATTGGTCATGTAATTCGGTGGTTTTTCGGGGTGATAATTCGCCAAGTCATAGCAAAAACTCCTATCAATTTGTTTATTAATTATCTGAAATAAATGACAATTATATATAGTGCCTACATGGGCTGTTGACTCAATATGTGTCACAATGTATCGATTAAATCGCCCTGGTTGATCGTCGATTCGATAATCTTGTGATCGCAGCACAATCGAGGTTTATCGGTGCATTAATGCGCATTCGCGGAAAGGGAACATGTATTTAGCGAGATAAATCGGGGATTATACGGGAATTGAGGAGTGTGTGTCTTTTATTTCCCCGGTTCGATGCACTCGGAGCCCGACCAAATAGAAGATTGTTTGCGGAGTGAATCGTGCCAGTGATGGAGTTATGAAGTCGATGAATTTCTGACATAGGACTTTAGTCTAGGGCAATCTGTGCCCTTCTCGCGTACATACGCTCGGTAAAATAATATGGCTTGTATCCAAAGCATCGCCACAGGGACACCTGCGCCACTAAAAGCCTTCCAACGACACCCAGAGAGTGGATACATATATGTGGCGACAGAGATAAATTATACTGATTTTTTTCATCATTAAAAAGAAAAATATTGCGATGAACACCGACGATTTATGCACTCGGCATTTTCATTCATACACCATTATTCTCCACTGTCTTTTGAATTTTCACTAAAAAAAAATGCCAATAAATCTTGTGCAACTACATATTCGTATATTACCCATTGAACATTAGTCCCAAGCAAATAAACAATTAATTTATCTTCGATTTGACTGCGAGTTGCTCGAACATTTTCGTTATCGTGATTGAAGATGAGTCAAGCGAGTGTACGTGTAACGTACTAGCGTCAATTGATACGATTGATCGCGGATCAATGAGGGTCGTCCCCGGCGCGGCGTTACCACCAATGTAGTCATAAATGCTCAAAACTCGGGGGGGAATTATATTCTTTGTTGTTACAGCGTCGCGCAGGTCAAACGACAACGGTCAAGTCTGGACTTCCGTCCTGAGTTAACCCGATGGCTATCCTCAATCTCGACGGAGCTACATGACTCATACCCCACAGATAACTGGCCTTGTCATCATCTACATTTTGCCTCCTCCATTTGAATAATTGATTTTTCTATTTTCATTCTACGATGGCCAAGTTCATTCATCGCGCATTTATTTCTCAAACTCTGAAAAAAAAGTATGATTTTTTCAACTGATCACAAGTCGCGCAATAAAATTCCCATGAAAAAAAAAAAAAAAAATGGACAATCCAAACAAGAGGGACCGGGAGGGGGGAAGTAGAAATTTCAGTCTCGTCACGCCCATGTTTGCGAAGCAATCAAACCGAATCATTAACCCGACATCTCCACACGTAGCATT